AGTAGGGAATGAATTCCTTGTTTTGCTTTGCTTGCGTGCACGGCTTTTGCTTTGCCTATTAAACTGTTTTTGTCTCAACCCACGAGTTTTCTCCCTTTCACTCTTCTGATTCTCTCCCCCATCCCACCAGGGGGGAGTGAGCAAGCGGCTGTGTACTGCTTAGTTGCCGACTGGGGTTAAACCACGACAGTCAGTCAGCTGTAAATATGGCCTAGAATATTTGCCTGGAATATCTAAATCCCTGTGCACATATTTTTAGTGTACAGTGAAAGTGATTGAATGACCAGCTGCCTCCTGGCTAAGACCTGGTTGCTACAATGGTGCTTTGAGACTGGGGATAGTTGGTGCAAGACAAACCTGCTGTCTCTGAATAAAGTACTGGAAGGAGGACCATTTGCATTCTGGAGCATTAGGAGAAATGCAATGTTTAGGTGGACTTGGTGAGGAATGGTTGAGGAATCAGCTAAGCTGGGAGTAATAGATCTCATGTACCCTGTATAAAAGGGAAAAGGTATTCCATTCCATCACCTGAAAAATGTACAAGTACTGCTACTGCAGGTCTTAATTCTCTAGTTAGGTACTGTATTATTAATCCATATGAAAAACATGTAACTATATCATAAGTGCACTGGAATTAAACCACCGTTTGTGCAGAAAGGGGTAGTATTTAGTAACATTACTGTGTTAATATTCCTTCATAAGGTTGAGCTGTTCAACTGTAATCAAAATTTCAGCTCAAATTGCAGCATTACTGTAAGAAATAATTCTTAAAGAATCTTTTTAAAAATTTTATAAAGACCCCCCCCCCCCCCCCCCCAGCCAGTCTTTACCTCAACTCCCTTTCAGAGGCCAAGGCCAATACCAACACAATCGGGCAGGTTTACACCCTGCCCATTTCCACGCCAGAAGCTCGTGGAATTCTTTAATCTGCTGCAGGAGCTCCTGCAGGTCCTAAGGGGAAAAAAGGCTTGAGCAGCAGGATGAACAGGATCCAGTGCAGGCTGCAGTATACCACAACCATTTCCTTCTGGGGCAATGCCTGCTGATCCAAAGGCAGCCTCCGACTCAAAGGCCTGCTCTGTCCTGCCCATGCTCCTATGAGTGCACACAAATGCTGAAGTTGACTTAGTTCTTGAAATAAAGTTGCCAATTTTCACAGCTAACCATGCTTCAGTCCAATTCAGTCTCCTGTGCAAGGCAAGGACTTCCATGCCTGGCACCTGCAAAATGAGGCTGCAGGTAGACAGTAGGGCACAAAGGGAAAGAGTCACTCAAGAGGGCTGAAACCGTGCCTGGTCAGAGAGGAGGGTGAGTGTGCAGTGGAAGAAGGGAACACAGGTCTTAGGACGCTAGTGGTCTTGGGGACAGCAGCTGGAAACATGAAGTGTCTTGGGCTAGCTACTGGTGGGATCCCTGTGTGTGTGTGTACAATGTACCAGTGAACTTGAAACTGGACTCTCTCATGACCCAGGAGACATGGATCTAGAAAGACCCAAGGTTTGCACCAATGACCAGGTAAGGAGCTTGACATCCAGCCATAGTTATTACATGGACTTAATTTCCATACTGTTATTTGAGGAATCTATGAACATGCTGTGCTTATGAATCTAGGGAGTGAAGGTGTGTTTATGTTTCACTAGTAAACATCCACTCCTGATCATCTGGAAAGGAAGAAAAGGACTGGACTGTGTTCATGTTTATGTAAGTGGTGGTTATGTATACATGGGTGCTGGTTAAGGCATTGCTCTGTTTATGTCAATCTGGTTTGCTGTTCACATTAATTGTGTAAGTCTGTGTGTGTGTTTCTGTATCTGGCTCTTTGGAATGCAGCGTAAGTCTCTTGAACACACACATGGGAACAGCAGCAGCCACATCCATCAGGCTGGGATAGGACAAGCCTCCTGGGTGTGAGAGTCCACCTGATTCAGCTCTAGCAGACCTGAAAGGAGAAATCCCCCACGTTCAGAAGTCTACTGGATCTGGCTGCTCTGTAACAGAATGGGGAAGGAAACCCAAAGAAACTCTGCAGCAGAGATCACAGGGGTGGACAGAGAGGCAGCACTGGCTAGGCTGTGAAAGCAATAGGGAGGGCTGGCAGTTGGACTTGCACTGTATAGTAACTGGACTGCCTTATAACAAAAGTGCAGGAAGGATGCAAGCACAAAGCTTTATAAAAAAAATTCTTTAGTGTTTGTTTTCTCCAGTAGGTACCATTAAAGCTTCTGGGCAGGACCCTTCCCTGCAGGTCTAAGAGTGGCTTAGCTCTCCTGGCAAGCTTTGCCTTGAAGAAGCATGCAATAACGCAACCATGTGGATACTTTCGCCCTTGACAGTGATGTGCAGTGGCTAGGGCTGAGTCAAGGAAGGTCATGCCCAGACAGTCTCCCACAAGAAGGGGAGAAGCCCAGCTGCCCATCACCAGAGCTCTCAGGCATGAGAAAAATCACTTTCCCCTGTGAAGGCCAGCTCTAACTAGCCCCAGAAATCTAGAGCAAAGGGAAAAACATACTCAGGGTCCGAGGCTTATGCAGATGGGGGCTTCTCTTCAGGGCAGCTCTCCTCTTTATCCGACAAATTCTCACTCTTCTTCTGAAGGTCAAAGCTCTGGAAAGGAGCAGGACAAGGAAATGCTGAGAAGCATGAGAGCAACAGCTACACTCTGCTGTGGTTCTTTTGAATTTGGTCTAGGGCAGCGTGGGCTCTTCAGAGGGTCACCACCTCACCCCTTCCAACCTAGACACGAGCAGCACACAAACCCGATGGTGTCACCAGCATAAGGCAAATCTTTCCACGCCTGCAAAGTTTCACCCTTTGCTACAGGCTCTGCTTTCCCTGAGGGAAAAAAGAGCAGAGCTGCTAATCACTTAGGAGGAGTGCATTAAGTAGCGCCTTTCTTACCTCCAGTTCTCGCATGACCTCATCCATGAAATCTCCTGAATTCTGTTTGTAAGCAACTGCCAGTTTGATAGCATCATTGAAGAGCTGATGAGAAGGAGAATGCTTGTCACTCAAAGTAAGGGGCACTGCATTTCTGTAACATATGGAAACTGTCCCCACACCCGAAGAAAAAAAAAAGCCAAACTCTGCAACTACCTATAGCTACCAGGACCTCACAAGCAGCCAAACAGATGTACTAGCCCATTTTCTGCTCTCTGTGCCTACAGCAGTCTCCACGTCCTTGGACTGTATAGGGCTCTCATGAATGCTGATCCAAATAGTTATGTTTTACCTTCACTACATTGGTGCCATCTGCAGCAGACACAAAGTAAAAGGGCAAACTGAATTTCCGGGCAAAGTTGAAGCTTTTCTGGGTCACCTTCATATCCGCTGGGGGCAAAAAAAGGAGAAGTGATCAGTAAGACATCACTGTAGGCAGAATGCCAACATGTGCAGGAGTGGTGGAAACAGATGGCGACCAGAGCCCAATTTAGCTGTTAAGGCCTCCTCACTATAGTACAAGGCTAGGAGAGTCCTCCCCAAAAGCTATAGGGTTTTAAAAGCAACAGCATCAGCAAACCGTTGACAAGAAGACACAAAAAAAGAAGAGTTCTTGTTGGTTTATCCATGGTGCTTGACTAAATTGTAGATGGATTCTGATGTGCTATAAATGAATAATGCTTTGCAGCTTAGAACATATCAGTTCACTTGCTGTGCAGCAACTATGAATGTTTTCCAGGCACATCCCTATGATTTTTGCTGTGTGTCCACATGACTTGGACACCATTGCCAGTACTAGTCATGCCTCTCCCTCCAGTTTGGCCTTTTTAACCAGAACTCCCCACTGCCCTTATGCCATGTTACCTATATTCCTGTGAGTCAGGGGCACGCTCACAGTGTACAAATGACTCAACTGTTATATATTTTTACTTAACAGGCAGTTAGGTCCAGCTACCCCAACCTCAGTAGGCCAGAGGCTTTATTTCTGGTTTGGAACAAATCTACTGCATATTTACAGGACGTGCTGACACAGCAGTACAGCTCAAAGTTTTGATAGATAGACAGCCTGTAGGCCAGCACAGGAGGATGACTCCAGATGATCCGCCTTTTTTCATAGAAGCAACAGCCGAAGTAGTTCAGACTCCAAATGCTTGCCAGGGAGCACTGCCTAGGCAGCCGCTCCCCACCTCTTTGCAGGAAGCCAGATCAACTGTTCTGCAGACTGGGCCTGTGTTAAGAGCTGTGGGCTGATTATTTCCTAGTCCGGGGGGAATACAGTAAACGAAGGCAAGGCCTGTCCACTCACACATAGAACACTAAGAGCAGGATTCATCTACACAGAGGTTCTGTCTGCAATATGGCTGTCAACACCAAGTCCATTTGCCTCGGACTTCCTGTACAGTCTGTGCAATCAGTGGATTCAAGGCTGGCTTGACACATCCTATAGGAAAGGCTTTTATTAGGTAAGATCAATCATGCCCTAAGCCACACCACTGAACGAAATGAACTTTCGTAGACTACAGTGGGAGCCCAGACACCTTATTCAGGTGCAGACACCTATTCATAGCTGCGATGATTTCTACCATGAATGTCAGCAAGGAAGCCCATGTGTGACACTGTGCTTGATAGAGAATAGCAGGAGACTGTGGTCCTAAGGGTATGTGTTCTCTCGTTGATGCTGAGCGGAATGCTGATGCGTTATGCGCTCTCACAGGATGCAGGAGACAGATCACAACCCAAATGATAGCAATAATGAATGCTTAGCTGGCATTCCTAAGAGGAGAGAATCATCCAATCATCTGCAGAGGAAGGTGAACAATTTTGCCAGCAGGTATATTTAGACACTTTAGCACAGAGGAGTCCCACGGAAACCTGCAGGCTGAATTAGCAAGACAAAGGCAGTTACCGACTGTATCAGGGGAAGCCACATAATAGATTATGCTCTTTTTCCAGCAAGACATCCTGCAATTTTTGACTAGGTAGTGCTCCAATCAGCTTTTGGGTTCTTGCTGGATGAAATGGGCAGCGTGGTAAGGACAGAATTGGAAGGACATCACTTGAATAAGCTTTAAATGGATCAAATTTGTATTTTTAATTGCTAGTAAAACAAGGAAAAGACCCTATAAGACAGCATGCAAGGTCAGTAGAGGACCTAGCTATTCGTTTGGTAAAATACAGCCCTGAGGAACTAATACTCAAGAACTCATCTGGACCTAACAGATGAATGACATTCTTTCTCAGCCAGGTCAGAAGAGAATCACATCACAATCCTGAGAGGTTGAAAGAAGAAGATATACTCACCATCAATTTTGTTGGCCACCACAATGCAAGGAATCTCTGGGCGGAATTCTCTCAGCTCCTTGTACCAGCTGTTTAAGTTCTTGTAGGTGACTTTCCGCTGCACATCAAACACCTTCCGAAAAAGAACCAGCTATCATGGGGCCAACAGCAGGACAGCTCCTGATCAACCCACTGCACCAAACACAAGTACAGAATCCAGAATTTTCCCAGTAGGACATCAACAAAGGAAACTGGCCTTTGTTAGAAAAGATGAAAGAGAAAAGGAAGAATACCCAGCAAGCCTTGAAACATGCAGCCAGCCCGTTTCTTTGCACGATGCAGGAAACAGTCCCTCATTTTCCTTTACATTCTTATTTTGTACTATGATCAGCAGTCTATCACCCATGACAGTGAAAAAGCACTGGGAAAGATCTGTTCTGCTAAGTAGGGTCAGATGTGAGGCTTCTCTATTTTAAGAATTAAAATATCAATTAAGTTGACTGATGCTCACAAGCAATGAGAAATAGTGGAAAGTTAGAGCAACAGTACAAACCAAGAGACCTAAGTGGGTTAGGCGTCAGGAAACAAGACTGATTTGAGCTAATAAATGGGAAGCGCAAAGTATAGGAAAATAGAAAGGGCAGAAGACTAGAGAAGAATGTCTTATGGAGTACCCCTGCAGAACACGTTGGAACAGTTTTGTACTACATAATCCAATAGTCACATCACAGAATAAGAAAGGAATGCCCTCTCCCTCGCATCACCTCTGACAGGACTGCTTCTAAATAAGTACATTCAGTTGTACGTACCACCTTACTGGAAACACAGTGACAAAAGTAAGAAAATTTAGAAGACAGCAAAGCCAGGGAATATAGTAAGAGTGCTATCAGGAAAGACAGAAGAGAGCTAAACATACCCAACTACACTGGTTTTACCTGGTGAGAGAAGAAAGAAAAATATAGGAAAGTTTTAAACTGCTGGAAGAGACAAGAAATGTAAGGCAGTGTAATCATAAAAAGTAACATACAGGCCAAGTGTCAACTGGGACTGTTATTACTTGAAATTCTATCAGATCACAGCTGAGACACTACCCTTACCATGATACAAGCATGAGCCTTATGGTAATAGGATGCATGCATGCTCTGGAACCTCTCCTGTCCAGCTGTGTCCCAGAAGTCTGTAAGACACAAAAAACAAGCTTAGAATGACACAACTTTCCAAGTTCTGTTTTCCTCACAACTTAAACCCAGGATGCCAAGCCCAGTTCATCTACTCAGGGTTGCAAGTTAGGTTTCACCTCACTAATCTGAAACATTACAGGGCTAAGAGATTATGCAAAACTAGGACCTTTTCTTAGCTAGGCTTAGCTATGTGTTGTGCTGACACTGAACATTGCTATAAACATATTAGCAAAAGAGAAATCATCAGTAGACATGACATATAAAGGACAGTAAGAAAAAGCTAGTCAAAAGTGCAAAGATTGATAACAATGTATGGTACTTTGTCACTAGAGATGACAACAGGAAACAAAATCTAAACATCTTGAAACAGCTTGATTTCTGACACAGTGATAAATAGCCAGGTGCCTGCCATAGGAAATGTTCCATCTCCTTTTGCAGACAGTCTAACTCTGCTCTTTGCAGGGGCACGACTCGTTCTAAAATTATGAAGGGTAAGCAAGTTAGCCTGAGACAGACGGGTCCCAATTCATTAAGTACCTTGTAGACTAGGTATCGTGAAGCATACCTGAACAGTCATCAACATTTTAATGCCTTTTTCTGTTTGTGCGTCTCAGGTAGAGATCTCTCCCCCTCCTTTTACTGGATTTATAGGCTAATATTTGTGACTTATTTGTTGTATAAATTTACACAGCTTCAGCTAAGAACCACCAGATGTAGTTATACTTCTGTCAGCTAGACTGAAGCATGCCACTCCACCTAAAGCCAAATATGACACTTTCCTTAGTGTTTACTAGTTTTTGACTGGATACTGTATCAGACTTGCAGGATGGTGACTTCTTAAGCTGCCCAAAATATAGACAAGTACTCATCAGACCACATTTCCAATCATTTTAGGTAGTTATGCTTAGCTTCTAAAATTGCCTGATCCTTTTAATGTGCCATTTCAGAATCCTCACTTACAAGGAAAAAAGAGGTGCAGTGACCACGACCTACTGAATGTCCCTAAATTAACTTCCCAAACAATGCGGCAGCTGTCATAAGAGAACTTGCCATGGCTTATTGAAAAACACTGCTGCTTTTATTACTAAATCCTCCAGATCTTGCCTGTCATACCCCATGTCACTCCAGAACACAGGAATTTATCAACCTTAAAATCCTTGGGAAAAATAAGATTCATAAAGAAATACACCATATTTTAATGCAATCCTAACTCTACCACACGGAATTTGGCAATGGCCACTAACAATAGCTCAGCAGAGTAAAAATTAAACTAGCTAGGGAAATGGTAATTCTTCTAAAGTGGCACAATTTAAAGTCTTCAGATCAAACTACCTGCCTTTACAAATCACACTTCATGACACGTCTTCTCTGCAAGGTAGCTTGGATGATCAGCATTATGTTCATAAAAGGTGAAGACAGAAGACACTGTGAACTCTTGTATAACATAGGCCAGATGAATTACTTAAACTAGAGCAAGCTACTTAATAAAGTACTAAATCCATGTTAAAAATAAGTCCCTGACATATGAATCCATACTTTTGCAAGTTGCCTTAATAGTAATTTCACTTACTGTTTAAAAAAAAAACAAAACACCGTATCTTTTATTTGAGTTTACCTAACATCAACTAGAGTCTGTTAAATATTTCTTGCTATGCTGAAGCCTCCTTTTGTACCAAGTTCCTGTTCTCTGATGTTTTACCTTCTCCCTGAGAAGTTAAGCAGACTGAGTCTCTCATCATTAGGCCCCTTTTTACCATCTGTTACCTGGCCAGGGACATCAAAGGCAACAAGAAAAGATTCTATAGGTACATTGGGGATAAAAGGAAGACAAGGGAAAATTTGGCCCTCTCCGGTAACAGAACGGGAGACCTGGTTACCCGGGACACAGAGAAGGCAGAAGTACTCAATGACTTTTTTGCCTCAGTCTTCACCAGCAAGTGCTCGAGCCTCATCGCCCAAGCCACAGAAGGCAAAGGCGGGGACTGGGAGAATGAAGAGCTGCCCACTGTGGGAGAACATCAGGTTCGAGACCATCTAAGGCACCTGAAGGTGCACAAGTCCATGGGACCCGATGAGATCCAT